TTGTTAAAATCAAACTTAGTTTAATTTTGGACCCTTTGGACCTTAATGTAGACCAATTTAAATAAAATGCTCCGCAGGGCGCAGCTTGATACGACCGCAGAGGTCGAACCCTGAACAGTTGGGGCAAGTATGGACACAACATTCAAGCTTTGCATTTGGATTGTGATTAAATATTTGACACAGCATAGGTTTCTGACACAGAATGAATGTGGTCTAAGAACTTAAAAATTTTAAATTGGACATTCACCTATTATGGTCCAATATCCAAAATCTAAATACATGGTTAGATTCAACATATCAAAGAACCCCAAGAATTCAATTTTTGATGAAATCAAACAAAGTTTAATTTTGGACCCTTTTGACCTCAATGTGGACAAAGTTGATAACGGGGCCCAAAAATCAAAAATCTAAATACATGGTTAGATTCAGCATATCAAAGAACCCCATATATTTAATTTTTGTTGAATCAAACAAAGTTTCATTTTGGACCCCGATTTGGACCAACTTGAAAACTGGGCCCATAATCAAAAATCTAAATACATGTTTAGATTCAGCATATCAAAGAACCCTAGGAATTCAATTTTTGTTAAAATCAAACTAAGTTTAATTTTGGACCCTTTGGACTTTAATGTAGACCAATTTGAAAACAGAACCAAAAATTAAGAATCTAAATACACGGTTAGATTCGGCATATCAAAGAACCCCAATAATTCAATTTTTGATGAAATCAAACAAAGTTTAATTTTGGACCCTTTGGACCTCAATGTTGACCAATTTAAAAACGGGGCCCAAAATCCAAAAACTTAATACATGGTTAGATTCAGCATATTAAAGAACCCTAAGAATTCAAGAATAAAACCCCATTGAAATTGGTCAAGAAATAAGCAATTTATACGAAGTATCTTCTTTTGCACGATACTGTGCAATTAAATATTTCTTGCTATTGCGCAATACTGTACAATTGACAATTTCTTGCTATTGCGCAATATTGTGCTATTAGATATTTCTTGCTATTGCGCAATACTGTGCAATTGAAGATTTCTTGCTATTGCGCAATACTGTGCAATTGGAAGATTTCTTGCTATTGTGCAATACTGTGCAATTGAAAATTTCTTGCTATTGCACAATACTTTAATATAATAATTTACACATCCTGTTTGGTTTGTATCTCCTACCATATCATTATTATTTGCTTTTAAATATAAATCAGAAATAACCAACTTAAAATGGAAAATTTTAAAAGAAAAAAAAGGAAAAAAAGAAAAAAAAAGGAAAAAAAAAAAAAAATCCCCCCCCCAAATTTTTTGAACCCCCTTATGATTCATCACACCCAAACTCAATCCCAGCCTTCCCTTTGTGGTATGGTACCTTGCAGTACAATTTCAGAGAGATCCATACACTTGAACACAAGTTATTGTCTGGAAACTAGAAAAATGCTTATTTTTGGCCCCTTTTTGGCCCCTAATTCCTAAACGTTTTGGGCAATTACCCCCAAACTCAATTGCAGCTTTCCCTTTGTGATATGGAATTTTGTAGTACAATTTCAGAAAGATCCATACACTTACACACAAGTTATTGTAATGAAACTAGAAAAATGCTTGTTTTTTGCCCCTTTTTTGGCCCCTAATTCCTAAAATTTTGAGGCAATTACCCCCAAAATCAATCCCAGCATTCCTTTTGTGATATGGAACCTTGTGGTACAATGTCAGAGAGATCCATACACTAACACACAAGTTATGTCTGGAAGTTACAAAAATGCTTATTATTGGCCCCTTTTTGGCCCCTTATTCCTTTACTGTATGTACCATAACCCCCAAAATCAATCCCAACCTTCCTTTTGTGGTATTGAACCTTGTGGTAAAATTTCATAGAGATCCATTCACTTAAACTAAAGTTAGAGTGCGAAAACCAATGTGTCTTCGGACGACGCCAACGTCATACCAATATACGACCACAAAAATTTTTTTGCGGTCGTATAAAAACGGGACCCAAAATTAGAAATCTAAATACACGGTTAGATTTGGCATATCAAAGAACCCCAATAATTCATTTTTTGATGAAATCAAACAAAGTTTAATATTGGACCCTTTTGACTTCAATATGAACCAATTTGATAGCGGGGTCCACAAATAAAAAATCTAAATACATGGTTAGATTCAGCATATCAAAGAACCCCATATATTCAATTTTTTGTTGAAATCAAACAAAGTTTAATTTTGGACCCCAATTTGGACCAACTTGAAAACTGGGCCAAAAATCAAAAATCTAAATACATGTTTAGATTCAGCATATCAAAGAACCCGAAATATATTCAATTTTTGTTAAAATCAAACAAAGTTTAATTTTGGACCCTTTGGACCTTAATGTAGACCAATTTGAAAACTGGACCCAAAATTAAAAATCTAAACACACGGTTAGATTCGGCATAACAAATAAATAAATGTGGTCAACGATTTTACAAATCTAATGCGCCATACTTTGCAATAAAAGATAACTTCTTGAAATTTTTCAATATTTGAAATTTGAAAAAAAAATAATATTTGAAGAATAATTCTTTTTACTTTTTAATTTCTGAAATCTGAAATGAGAAAAAATTGACCCCCCACAATTTCTTTTTACCCCCCCCCCCCCCTTTTTCCCCCAAAAAATTCTTTCCCTCAAGATATGGTCATAATTTCAATTCAAATTTCCAATGGAGTTTGCAACCATAATTACCCATTTAAATTTACCATAGTGCTAACTTAATCTATTTTATAATAGAATTTAAAATATAGTGTCAAATCTTTCATATGGATTTTTTTGTAAAAAGAAAAGATGCAACATTTGTAGATATTTTTACTGGTCTTCCTTTATAAATATGCATTTCTTTAAACATAATTTAAAAGCAGTGTAAGGGAAGTAACCAAAACGTTGTATTTGGATTACCTCCCTTACACTGTTTTAAATTATCTTAATTGTTCATTTACCATTACTTTATACATAATTTAAAAGCAGTGTAAGGGAGATAATTTCAATGATGTATTTGATTTATCTCCCTTACACTGCTTTAAATTATGTTTTGTACTAAAGTATTTGTCCATTAACCAGGACAACCTTGTTTTTCCCCCTTTTTTGCCCCTAATTCTTAAATGGTTTGAGCCATAACCCCCCAAAGCAAATCCTAACCATCCCTTTGTGGTATGGAAACTTGTAGTATAATTTCAGAGAGATCCATACACCGTTCCACAGTTATTGTCTTGAAACTAGAAAATGCTTATTTTTGGCCCCTAATTCCTTAACTGTTGGTACCATAACCCCCAAAATCAATCCCCACCTTCCTTTTGTGGTATTGAACCTTATGGTAAAATTTCATAGAGATCCATTCACTTAAACTAAAGTTAGAGTGCAAAAACTAATGCGTCTTCGGACGACGACGCCGGACGACGACGCCAACGTCATACCAATATACGACCACAAAAATTTTTTTGCGGTCGTATAAAAAGCATAAAATAGACAGAAATTGTCATTTAGTAGTCTACTGACAATTTTGGTCATGTTGATTTTTTTTGTGGATTCTGTTTTTCTAATTATATTTTCTGTTTAGAGTTTCTCTCTATCTATTATAATTTTCAAAATAATTGCGAACAAGCAAAAGTCTGTAAAAAATTATTATAGGACAATAACTCCTACAAGAAGTTGATTGACAATTTCAGTATGTTGAATTATTAAGTTTCTCTCAATCTTTTACACTTTTCGAGATTATAGTCAAGAATCTCTTTCTATTCAAACTTTTCAAGACAAAACATAACAGCAAGTATGGGTTAATATTGTCATTTAAGGGCAATAACTTCTATATATATATAAGGAGTTGACTGAATATTTTGACCGTGTCGACTTACTTGTAAATCTAGTTTTGCTGATCATTTTTGCTGTTTCCAATTGCACCCTTTCTTTTATAGTTTATGCCAAAAACAATAAATTGCTTCGCTGAGCACAGCTGGATACGACCGCAGAGGTCCAACCCTGAACAGTTGGGGCAAAAATGGACGCAATATTCGCGCTTGATACAGGTCTGAATTTGGATTGTAATTAAATATTTGACACATAAAAGGTTTCTGACAGAATAACTGTAGTCAAAGAACTTAGAATTGGTTATATGATTTGAATTTATATTCAATTTTTTGCTTTTGTGCAATACACTTTGCTGTTGCGAATTGACACAACATTCGCTCTTGATACAGGTCTGAATTTGAATTGTAATTAAATATTTGACACATAAAAGGTTTCTGACAGAATAACTGTAGTCAAAGAACTTAGAATTGGTTATATGATTTGAATTTATATTCAATTTTTTGCTTTTGTGCAATACACATTGCTGTTGCAAATTGACCCCCCCTCCCCCCACAAAAAAAATAAAAAATTTACCCACCTTTTTTTTTTGCTTTTGTGCAATACACTATGCTGTTGCGTATTAAAATTTACCATAGTGCTAACTTAATCTATTTTATAATAGAATTTAAAATATGGTGTCAAATCTTTCATATGGATTTTTTTGTAAAAAAAAAAAAAGATGCAACATTTGCAGATATTTTAACTGGTCTTCCTTTATAAATATGCATTTCTTTAAACATAATTTAAAAGCAGTGTAAGGGAGGTAATCAAAACGTTGTAAATTTAAATTGTCTTAATTGTTCATTAACCATTACTTTATACATTATTCAAAAACACTGCTATAAATTATGTTTTGTACTAAAGTATTTGTCCATTAACCAGGACACCCTTGTTTTTCCCCTAATTCCTAAACGGTTTGAGCCATAACCCCCCAAAGCAAATCCTAACCATCCCTTTGTGGTATGGAAACTTGTGGTATAATTTCAGAGAGATCCAAACACCGTTCCACAAGTTATTGTCTGGAAACTAGAAAAATTCTTATTTTTGGCCCCCTTTTGGCCACTTATACCTTAACTGTTGGTACCATAACCCCCAAAATCAATCCCAACCTTCCTTTTGTGGTATTAAACCTTATGGTAAAATTTCATAGAGATCCATTCACTTAAACTAAAGTTATTGTGCGAAAACCAATATGTCTTCGGACGACAACGACGTCATACCAATATACGAATAAAAATGGGTAAAATTGTCATTAAAGAGGAATAACTGACGATTTCAGTCATGCTCACCAATTTGTAATCTTATTTTGCTGATAATTTGTTTTGTTTATAGCTTCTCTCTCTGTTCTTCAGTTTTTGCGAATATGCAAAAAATAGGTAGAACTCATAACTGAAGGGCAATAACTTGCTGTTTAGACTTATTTGTATCTTTTACAAATTCAAGATTATAGCAACCAGAAAAATTTCGTAAAAAATTAGTTAAAATTGTCATTAAGGGCAATACCAACCATAGGGAGTCAAATGACATTTCTAAACAAATAGAAACATTAGTAAATAATAGGTCTGATGGTTTTTAGGTGATGGCTTTCTAACTATCTCTTACAATTTTCAAGAATTTGACTTAAACATATGCTGACACCCCTGTTCATCAATGCTGGGATAAAATTTACAAACAAGATGCCAAAGGAATATTCAGGTTAAGTTTGGTAACATCCAGCCCAGTAGTATCAGAGACGAATTACGACAGACACCAAGTGATTCACACAGACATTTTAGTTTAGGTAAGCTAAAATTCAGCTAAATATCTTTAACAATAACAGAATTTTTTTCTAGCAAATTGAAGGGAAAAGAATAGACAAAGAAGTAATTTCTCCCTTATAAAAGTTGATCTTTTAATCCTTTGTAACATCTTTATGTTAATGTTTGATAAATATTCAAAGGATTTCTTCTTTAAATTGTTAAAACCAGTAACATATATAAATGGAAAACAAGATTCACTTATAACTGGTTAATAAAAAAACTTCATAAAACCGTCAGTCATCATTATACCTGTGTTAAAACAGACATTATAACTGTTTTCATGTACATTCGTTTATCAAATTAATGAATACTGGTGAGAATATTATAGCACAGAATATGAATTTATTGATGTTAAAATTGACATCAGTAATTGGAATCTTTAAAAAAAACATTCAGTGCATTTCAAGTTTGGTAGACGGCATCATATAGTTTTCACTTTGTATCTTTTTACAACAGCACAGAAAATATTGAATTACATCAAATAAAGATCTGATGATGATGATAATGATGAGTTGGTGTTTAACATCCAGTGGCAAGCATTACATGCATATCAAGACGGGAACATGTTAATGTGATATATATATATGAACTCTGCTCTGTACTAGACCAACATGCTGAGTCTGACACTGTTTTATGATTATAAAATCATTTGTTTGTCCACACAACAATGTAGTGTTAATCAGAAAGCACAGTTTATTATATATAAAATAAACTGCTTCGCTGAGCGCAGCTGGATACACCCACAGAGGTCCAACCCTGAACAGTTGGGGCAAAAATGGACACAATATTCAAGCTTGATACAGGTCTGAATTTGGATTGTATTAAATATTTGACATATTATAGGTTTCTGAATAAATGTAGTTAAAGAACTTGAAATTGGTTATATGAATTGAATTTATATTCAATTAAAGATTTCTTGCTGTTGTGCAATACACTGTGCTGTTGCACAATACTTAGTAAATCTGTTGTCAGACTATAAACAATTAAAGTTCAATTAATTCTCAATATCATTTTAGAAATTTATGAAAATGATAAGGGAGCTTACATCAATAGATATGAACAATTCACCAAAGTTTCATGAGAATTGCTGACAGCATTTTTGAGTAATTGTCCAAAAACTGGAAAATCCCCCCTTTTTTAATGAATAAAACCTCACAACTCAGAAATGTAAAATGTAAAATTTATAAAATTCTAAACGGAGCTTACATCAATAGATATAAACAATTCACCAAAGTTTCATAAGAACTGCTGATAGCATTTTTGATTTTTTGTCTGAAAACTGGAAAATCCCCCTTTTTTTATGAATAAAACCCTGTAACTCAGAAACGTAAAATCTAAAATATATAAAAATCAAAAGGGAGCTCATGTCAATAGATATAAACAATTCACCACAATTTCTTGCAAGTTGGTGAAAGCATTCTTGAGTTATTGTTAGAAAACTGGAAAATCCCCCTTTTTTTAATGAATAAAACCCCATAACTCGGAAACGTAAAATCGAAAAATTTATAAAAAACGAAAGGGAGCTCAGGTCAATAGATATACACAATTCACCAAAGTTTTATCCAAATTGGTTAAAGTGTTTTTGAGTTAATGTCCAACATGTTGACGACGGACGGACGGACAGACGGAAGGACAACGGTATACCATAATAAGTCCCGTAAACGGGCGTATAAAAAATTGAAATAATTATATTGCATTAAGCTTCCCTGATATTACATTTAGACTCTTTCATTTTATTTCAAACAGGGTGATTTTGATTAAATTTCTTATCACTTGTTAGTTTTAATTTCGATTAAAAAAAGTTGAATCTGTTCTCCGTCAATTCATATGACATGCCATATGGAAGAGCACTACAGTCACAAGTAATGGCTCTGTCTTCTTTTTCGTTGATCTTTACGTCTTTAATGTGTTTTATGTTACATCATCATTATCTTCACTTGTTTCATTGTCACTTTCTTCATACACTGCTACTTTCTGTCTATTAGCATTAACCACAAGATCTCCAACATCTTCATCAGAACTGTCACTAGGTGGCAGCATATCATCTGGTATCATCTTGTTCTTTTCTGTGTTTGTTGTTTCCATGAAAGCTTCAGGCCTACCAGAACAAGAAATCAATTTTATTTACATAAATTTGACTGAATAATAAGTCATTACTTTTAATTAATGCTCCCATCTTAGGAAGGATGGGTTACACACAGTCTAACCAATTGATTTTGATTTTTTTTGATTTTTGGTGTTTTAACACCACTTTTAAGCACCGCTTTTGGGCTATTTTGTGGCGGCCAGTTTTTATTGGTGGAGGAAGCCAGAGTGCCGGGAGAAAACCACGACCTTCATTAGGAAAACTGACAATCCTAGTCAATTAAGATTGGAGTCAAGTGCACCTGCACGAGCAGGGTTCGAACTCACAACCTCAGTGTTGACTGGCTAGTGATTACAGTAGTAACTACTTAGACCACTCTGCCACCGAGGCCCCCTAACCAATTGATCTCATAAATATATTATATATGTAATAATACATATTTAATACATTATTCTAGTATGGTCACGGTAACTTTTGCTTTAAATAAAAGAATGTGTCCATCAGTCACAGATGCCCCTGCTTGTAAATATAAAGCAAATTCAGCAATTTCTCCATTTATAAAGGAACTTAACATGAGAACGGTGAAAGTGATGCCACCTAAATTCGAAGCTGATCTGTTTTTGGTGGTAATAAGCATGGTGTATAAGTTTCATAACATTTGGTTGAAGTAAAGTAAAGTTATTGTGCAGAAACTGCAAATTCAGCAATTTTTCCATTTATAAAGGGACACACAACTCAAGAACATTTAAAATAATACCACCACAATCCAGACTTGATCTGTGTTTGGTGGTTATAAGCAGTGTGTATAAGTTTCATAACATTTGGTTGAGGCAAAGTAATGTTAGAGTGCAGAAACCAATTTTGTGACATACTTTAGGACAGACAAGGGTAAATCTTATTGCCCCAGTCGCCTAGTGGTGTGGGGATAAAACTGTAAAGAATTTTTATTGCAATTCCAACAGAGAAGTACCACTGAATGTACTAAATGCACAACATAACAGGTAACATGTTGACATGGAAACATAAAACAAGTATTATCATAAAGCAACTGTGGACACAGTATTAGTGCTGATAGTTATGAACTTGACATGATAATAAGATACAAACAGGAAAAAAAAAAACTATAAAAAATAACCAATGTACAGCCCTATAACCTTAAAGTTGATAAATGTAAGAAATGCAATGTGAAATACTGCTAAAAATTTTCAACAAAAAGAACATATGCCTTAAAAATTTGATAAAAAATAAATGGGGAATGTGTCCATGGGACAAAGATGATGCCCTCTCTTGCATATAATGTTATAAAGGGACATAAGTCAAGAACGGTAAAAGTGACCCTACCCAAATTTGTACTTGATCTGAGTTTTGTGGTAATAAGTTAAGCATTGTGTATAAGTTTCATAACATTTGGTTGAGGCAAACTTAAGCAAGAGAACGGAAACGAAAAATTCAGCATTTTTTCATTTTAAAGGAGCATAATTTTAGAACAGTAGAAGTGACGCCACCAAAATTCAAAATTTATCTGCGTTTCGTGGTAATTAGCATTGTGCATAAGTTTCATAACATTTGGTTGAGGCAAACTTAAGTTAGAGAACGGAAACGAAATAATTCAGCAATATTTCCATTTGTAAAGGGCATAACTTTAGAACGGTAAAAGTGACGCCACCAAAATTCAAAATCGATCTGTGTTTTGTGGTAATAAACATTGTGTATAAGATCAATAACATTTGGTTGAGGCAAACTAAAGTGAGAGAACAGAAACGAAAAATTCAGCAATTTTTCCATTTGTAAAGGGGCATAACTCTAGAACAGTAAAAGTGACGCCACCAAAATTCAAACTCGATCTGTGTTTTGTGGTAATAAGCATTATGTATAAGTTTCATAACATTTGGTTGTGGCAAACTTAAGTTAGAGAATGGAAACCAATTTTGGGACATACGGATGTACAGACGGACAAGGGTAAAACTTAATGCCCACTCCGCTACGCTACGGAAAAAGCACCACGGATTTGTAGTAACAGAATTTTGAGTTGAGTACTATTTTCATTGGGAAAGTCTGCTGACAGTTTGTGTAAAATGATGGAAAGTTGTTATTGTGACCTTGACCTTTGATCTCTGAGCCAAAATCTACAGGGGTCTTGTTCTTTCCAAAGGGTATTTTAAGTTAAGCTAATATGCATGTTACAGTGTTGTTTCCATTTTGTTTACCTTTGTATTTATATCATTCTAAATTTGTACTTTATCTAGATAGTGTATACTATATACTGTATGTACTATCAACTGCAAAAACATTTTTGTTTGCGTCTTATTTAGATTTATTTGTATGTTTGTTTGAATTTTTTAGAGTTGTGTGTCTATGATGTATGTTACATTGTTTTGGCTGCTGTATCCTATTTATTGTCGCGTTGATCTTTTGTGTTCAGTTTTTTTTTTTTTTTATCTATTATTGTCAATATAGCAGAACTATAAACAACTGTCATACAAGTTGGAGGTATTGCTAGCTATCAAACCAGGTTTAACCCACCATTTTTGCAAGGGAAATGTCTGTACCAATTCAGGAATATGAGGTTGTTTTTCACTTGTTTCATTGGTTGATAACATTTGATTTTGCTACTTTTCTATGGACTTCCCCTTATTGAATTTACCATGGAGTTCAATATTTTTGTTATTCTATTTTTGGATACATGGTTTAAAAGATTTTGTCAAAATTTTAGTCTATCAATAGATGATGTGACCTTTACCTTTGACCCCAAAATAAATAGGGTTTTCCTAATCCCTTATAGTAAAAAAATGGGCTGTTTAAATCTCCGAAACTGTAATCTGCAGACATCACTGGTTACAGAATTTTAATTAGATCAGAAGAAAGCTGAAATGGTAGAAGGGTTGTTCTGAGTCTGTTTTATATGGCTCTGTGAAACCTTTAACACTTTTACAATGTGGTGGTGATAGACCTTGCTCTAACATGATCTCATGTGAAAATGTTAAAATAAAATAAACTATTCCATTATTTGCAGACATACTGTTATATCTCACATAGCTTTATTGCAATAATTAATGGGACCATAAAATAGGATTGAAGCGTGAGGTGGGCACCTGATGAGTCACGTGATATTGCAGCTGACAAGTAAAATAAAGATGCACAATCCACCTGTTCAAAACCAATGTCTTCAGAACTCATAAGGTAGCAACTGCCTCATATTAAAGAATACTAGAATAAAATTGAGAAAGGAAATGGGGAATTTGTCAAAGAGACAACAACCCAACCAAAGATCAGAAAACAGCCAAAGGCAACCAATGGGTCTTCAACACAGCGAGAAATTCCTGCACCTGTAGCTGGGCTTCAGCTGCCCCCGAAACAAAAATGTGTTCTAGTTCAGTGAAAATGGACGTCGCACTAAGCTCCGAAACATATAAATGAACTAAAATTAAAAAAACATACAAGACTTACAGAGGCTCCTGACTTGGGACAGGTGCAAAATTGCGGCGAGTTAAATATGTTTTGTGAGATCTCAACCCTCTCCCTATACCTCTAGCCAATGTAAAATAAACAAACACAGCAATATGCACAGTAAAACTCAGTTTAAAAGAAGTCTGAGTCCGATGTCAGAATAGGTAACAGAAGAAGCTAAGCAAAATGACAATGATACATAAATTAACAAAGGACTATTAGCAGTTACTGAAATGCCAGCTCCAGACCTCAATTAAACTGATTGCAAGATTATGTCTTCATCATATGAAAATCAAGCACAATCCCTCCCGTTAGGAGTTTAGTATCATACAAATATATGAGAAGAATATTTCCTTTCTCTATTTGAACCTAACAACAAAATTATTTTCATTTACCTGTGTTTAAAGTAATTGCAAATGGCTGATATTTTTGTTCGAGCATATTGTTTTTCTTAAATTGTTTAACATTTCATAGCGGTATAACATGTTACTTTTATTATTCTTCCATTAGTTTATTTATTTTGTATTTACATTGTATCATAGGTCAAATTTATTTGTTCAGTGTATGTTCACTGGTGTTAATATGTCCTTTGATTGAGTTAAGCCATTTCAGTTGATATTTTATAGTGTGTCTTTCTATGTTGTGATGTTACACTATTGTTTCAGAAAAAGGGTGAAGGTTTGGTACCATTAAAACGTTTAAACCCGCTGCAATTGTTTGCACCTGTCCTAAGTCAGGAATCTGATGTTCAGTAGTTGTCGTTTGTTGATGTGGTTCATAAGTGTTTCTCGTTTTTTATATAGATTAGATCGTTGGTTTTCCCCTTTGAATGGTTTTACACTAGTAATTTTTGGGGCCCTTTAAAGCTTGCTGTTCGGTGTGAGCCAAGGCTCCGTGTTGAAGACCGTACTTTGACCTATAATGGTTTACTTTTATAAATTTTGACTTGGATAGAGAGTTGTCTCATTGGCACTCATACCACATCTTCTTATATCTATATAACCTGTATCATGCCAACAACTGGTTTTAGAATAAATATGTTTATTTCCGATGCAAAGACCTTATGAGTGAATCAATATTAATTCCAAAAAGTGCCATCTTTAATGACCTGATAACAGTATCGTAACTATATCCCTTTTGAATAAGTCTGTTTAAAGGTTTGGTTAAATTTTGAGGTGAATGACAATATTTCTGTGCTTTGTATAGAATATTACCATAAAAGATTGGATGTGAAATACCTATAAGATGTCTGCATGTTGATTTATATTTACGAATGATGTCCTTGTACAGATGATAAAATTTAGTTAATTTTTTGACAAACTTGTGATATCAAAAAGCCTGGTGTAATAATTTTTCAGTAATACAGAGATTTCTTTCGTTAAAACAAATGTATTGTTACAGAAACGAGCAAATCAAACAAGTTGAGATATATAAACACCATAAGATGGCGACAAGGGAACTTCACCATCTAAAAACGGATAATCAATATGTTTTATCATAAATTTTGGTATTAAGCCTCCCATTAAAGATGTAGATATCAAGATCCAGGAAAGGGCAGTGTTCATTGTTAGTATGAGCTTTATTTAAAATTAGTTCAGCAGGATAAATCTCTTTAGTGTACATACTGAAGTCGTCATTATTGAGAGCCAATATATCATCCAAATATCTAAAAGTGTTATTAAATTTTTGTATCAGATGTTGTTTCAATGGGTCTGATTTTAGTCATAAATTGTAACAATACAGAAACAGGTCTGCAATAAGTGGTGCACAGTTAGTCTCCATTGGAATTCCAATAACTTGATGATATACGGAATCCCCATAGCGAACAAAAATGTTATCTAGTAAAAATTCAAGCGCAGTTAACGTATCAAAGCAGGTCCAATTGACATAGTGCTTTTGTTTGTTGTTACTAAAAAATGACCTTGAAGAGTTTGAACATATATATTCGCATTCTGACTTTTTGAATGCCCATTTAATAAGGTGTAGAAGTTCACTTCTAGGAAAGGTAAGAAACAATCTTGATATAGAGGAAGGTGAAAAAGTCTCTATAATTCCAACTGAGTCCTGTGGAGCTTGTTTGAGAATTGTCAATTATAAATTATCAGAAAGAGAATAATGCAAAAAAAAATATTATGCTTTCAGCATGTTCAGGGTAGAGAAGATTAATTATAGTTACATTCCACAAATTAATTGGAATGGCCACACCAGCTAGAGTTGCACAAAGAATTTTTATAAGATCTTGCTTTAAAATGATTACATTTTACAATGTGAGAATGTAAATCTGTTGCTATACTCTGCAGACATCTTTGATAAACTAATTTAAAATGTTTTGCATTTACTTACTGTAAATTCAGAAATTATTGCATTTACTTACTGTAAATTCAGAAATTATTGCAAGGTTTTTATTTATGTGAATAATGCAATTGGGTGAGTATTGCAATAATAAGAACTCGCATTCCAATATCTTATAGATATATCTGTATGCAGGTTTTCGGGAAATCGCAATAATTAATCTCACATTTTTTTTTCATTCTGCAAAAATCGCAATCATAAATGCAGGCAATAATTTCTGAATTTACAGTATTAGAAAACACAACATTTATTGCCATGATCAAACATCTACTTTACTTATAGTCATACACATTTTTTTAGAACCTCAACTGGAATAACAAATATATTCCCCCTTAAATGGATCCAATGTGATCTCCAAAACCAATAGCAGAGTTTGTAAACCTCTCCTAGTAATGGTCTTTTGAGAATAAACCCTTCATCCTATTCTGATGAAGAGATTTATGTTAAGGTTTCTGACTGTTTAACACTTTCCTTATTGTTTTATTCCTTGACTTTGTCTGGCCTGTTCTAATTTCTGAGCCAGCTTATCTGGCAAGAATTATTTGATGTGGGCAGAGAAAAAGTGACATTTTTGGACTTTTTGTTTCTACACAAATCTGTGGCAAAAACCAAGCGAATACACTTTTGTACCTTAGGGTAGTCGCAAAGAAGTTTGTTGTACAAGACAATACTATTTTTTGGTAAACTGTACCCTTTTGTAAGAGAAAAGAGTTGTCAATTTTTTGTGACCAGTTTTTATGTCAACCATTAATCTGTTGATTTCCATGATATACATTTGTACATGTACAGTGATAAAAAAAATCTTGGCATGAAAAGTCTTAATAAACAGGACCAAAGTCAATTCCTTTTGTGATTTTGTGCCTGGAGCGATTTTCTGATTTAGCTGCCCATAGAAAATCTACATAATAATCAAGTTTCTGAGACCTGGATGGAATGTGCAACTGAACACACAACTCTTAACCAAAAGGATACTCTTATATTCAGCTCAATTTTGTTTAGGCAAACTGAAGTTTCTATAAAACCTTACCATTTCCCTTCTTCTTTAATATATTTTATCTGGTCCTTGTAAAGGATTCTTGAAATTTCTGCCTTAACTCTGTCTCCTTCTTCTATTGGTTCTATGAAAACAAAATCCCCTGTAAAAATGAAAGTTAGAAAAATAAGTAAATATGCATACATGAAAATGTATCATTATCCTGCAATTGTGAAATTATGTGATAGTCCCTAAAAAAGATACCATTATTAGCCTAAATACTTTAATTTTGGATATTTATTAATCATGTTAATGGATAACTAGCCCTAAATTCATATTTGATTTAGGAGATAACTACATTACATTGTATTTTAGCTGGATCAATGTAAAAGGTAGGTATATTGTATTTTAAGCTAGGTCAATGTAAAAAGTAGGTACATTGTATTTTAAGCTGGATCAATGTAAAAGGTAGGTACATTGTATTTTAAGCTGGATCAATGTAAAAGGTAGGTACATTGTATTTTAAGCTGGATCAATGTAAAAGGTAGGTACATTGTATTTTAAGCTGGATCAATGTAAAAGGTAGGTGTATTGTATTTTAATCTAGGTCAATGTAAAAGGTAGGTATATTGTATTTTAAGCTGGATCAATGTAAAAGGTAGGTACATTGTATTTTAAGCTGGATCAATGTAAAAGGTAGGTACATTGTATTTTAAGCTGGATCAATGTAAAAGGTAGGTACATTGTATTTTTAGCTGGATCAATGTTAAGGTAGGTACATTTTTTTTTAAGCTGGATCATTGTTAAGGTAGGTACATTGTATTTTAAGCTGGATCAATGTAAAAGGTAGGTGTATTGTATTTTAAGCTGGATCAATGTAAAAGGTAGGTATATTGTATTTTAAGCTAGGTCAATGTAAAAGGTAGGTATATTGTATTTTAAGCTTGATCAATGTAAAAGGTAGGTCTTACTTTTACAAACTGAGTTTATCTAGTGAAGTGTAGCTGAACTAAGTAAATTGATATTTGTGACAGTGACTGAGAAATGTGATTATTTTTGGTTTTTATTGAAGAAAACACAAGCCAACTAATTCTCAAATTCTCAAATTTAAAAAGTTGGCTTCCCTTATTTACAAATGGGTGCATGTAAAGCAATTTTACCCCCTGAAAATATATCATGGCTTACAATCAAAATTGTCATTAATTATAGTTTTTTTTCAATCGAGATCAATATGAAACATGTCACACTATTTTCTCCCTGTTAAACAATAATCTGTAAGAAACAAACAATTGTTTCCTGACATTTATGAGACAGTACATCTAAGAAAAATTTTTGGATACTAAATCTTACATGAAATTCAAAACTTTGACAAAATAATAACTGGAGAGTGGAAGCTGCTATTTCATCCTCATTCGAAGACTTTATCAGGATTTTTGAGTTATCTTCCTTTGCCCACCAATGAAATTGAAACACATGGTTATTTTTATGAGCCATCTTGGATGTTGGTGGGAATAAAGGATGATGTAGGTGTAATTCTGCATGATTAACCAAGACTTTGAAATGTTTGTCAAATATTCTTTATTTACAGTAATAAAATACTACAGAGAGTAATGGCAAGTGATGTAAATAACTAAATACATGGTCATGTTTTATAATTCTGACTATTAATTCTGTGTTAGGAGATGCAGTCCCTGTTAGAATAATTATCATGTATTTATTCTAAATTCAAATAAATGCAAAGCAAAACAGACAATGTTGTATGATTCAGAAAACTAGAACTACAAAACATATAAACTACTTTATAAAAATAAAATACCATGCTGGTCATATTAACATAATATCAAACTATGTGCTGTAAAGTATTACCTCTTTTTATCCAAACATTTTTTCTGAATCGAGTGGGCATACTAACAAGGAATGTTTGGTTATCAGCTGTCTGTATTTCATGAAGATTGTTACCTTTTCCTGCTACAACCTATAATGAAATAAGCCTAAAGCATTGATATCAACAAGTTTACATGGATATAAACATGTATGGGTTTTAATAGTTATAACAGAGTAATTTGGGTTAAAACAAATATCTTTGAAGGCTCTGCCATGTACCCTGGTAATCCAAATTCTCCCTTAAGTAAATTTTGAAGCAATTTTTAATAAAAATTACAAAATTACCGGTAATTAGCTTGTAATACCAGGTTAGTGTAGATTTTGTACCAGTTTCAAATACAAATACAATCTAACTCATTACAACTCATTACTGTCAAGTTTGTACAAATGCACACGTATCTAGGAACTGATCTTGATCTTATATGTTAGCCATTTAAAGGTCAAGTTAAGACCTATAAAAAGGTTTTCATGCAATGAATTATGACTGATGAAGTAGTAATGTTCTTTCTTCTTGACAACTGAAACTTACATTGGATAGTTTATACATTCAAAATTGACCATACCTTAACAATCTGTTGGTTTTTTTCAGGAAGAACATATTCATCCAGTACTTCTTTAGTTACATGCTTTCTTTTTGTTGCTTTTGACATGTTATTTCCATTAATCTATATGTATTTAGAAATTAGGTCAGAAGTTTCTGCAAATAGAAAATAAATGGATCAAATATACCTTCTTCAATATTAACCTTATTTCAATTACATTGTACCATGATGACACTTCTTTCAAATTTCATCTCAATAGTTATAACAAGGATGTATACATTTAACATTTTGGATGATTTTTTTTTTAAATGTGTGTTTTTAAATTACTTAAGATTTGTTGTCAGAGGTAAATGAATAATTACAATGCCAATAAACATATGCATGTTAAAGCAACATACATGTATATAATTTTACAAAGTGTGTGTATAAAGGTTTAATATTTTATTCAATAAACAAGAATATATGTCCATAGGACACCATGCCCCCCTCGTAAAATCACTGCATTTTACTGGTACTAAATGTTTAGCGTTAGTTATATGCATGTAGACCTAAAAAGATTCAATCAAGAATAAAGATGGTTTTTTTTATGCTTTAGGTACATGTACATGTAAAATATCCCAAACATTATTGATTAACACAGTGAATCAACAGTTAATTAATTATCTGATTGATATATTCATTGTTTATAGAACACCCACATGGACAGTAATTCAGTCCTGTTCAGCATTGAAATCGGTCACATGGATTGTATTACCCCTGGCCTTAATGACCTGAAGACGTTTGGCCAAGATGCCAGAAAATTACAACACTTGACCCAAACAGGAAGTTGTCTAAATAACTGTTGGTTTTTTTGGATTGGACTAACTAGTGAGGTGTAATTTGCATCTAGGAAAATGAATACAGATGTCTATAAACTATAAATTCTGTATAATATTCCACATGAGCCAACAGAACAACTGAAATAGTTTTAAACTAATAAATGTTTTTAAAAAACAGATTATTATTAATGAAACAAAAAATCAATATAAAAGTCAATATACTAATGAACTCAAAATCATTAACTTTTTTTTCTAACAGCTTGTCCATTACCCTGTTCCTGTTCTGTTGAAGGAGGCTGCCATGTTGTAAATCATTTCCCGCAAATTTGAATGCCAGATTACCAAGAAGAATAATGAGGACAAACATTTTGAATTTATTATGTTTTATACATAATAAAATGAGTCTATAGCTTATTCAACATACGATTTTATTGCAAACAAAATGAGTTCTCTAGGGCGGAAACTCACCTCAGATCAATCAGGCAGATTTTTGTATCTGTACAAAAATCAGTAATAAGCTGACTTTGTATATCCTTTGTTTTTAGGCGGTCTCACTAATTAGAGACAAGAAAATTTTTAGCAACAAGAAAACAATATTAGCGACAAGAAGCCGAATTTAGAAACAAGAAAGCTTGTATTCTATAAAAAAATATAGATTTAAAGAAAAAGTCAATTACTTATAGTTGATTATTCATTGTTTTATAAAAAGTAAAATAACAAAAATACCAAACTCCAAGGAAAATTCAAAACAGAAATTCCCTTATCAAATGGCAAAATCAAAAGCTCAAACACATCAAACGAAAGGAAAACAACTGCCATATTCCTGACTTGGGACAGACATTTCCTTATGTAGAAAATAGTGGCTTAAACATGTTAAACCTAGTTTTATAGCTAGCTAATTTTCAAATTTTGTAGCTATTCAAACTTTGCAACAAGTTTCTATTAATAATACTGGGTTTTTAGTATTTGATACAAATAATGCAATAGTAGTCAAAAATATAGTATTAAAGCATCTTTATTGAACCATTGAATAAGGATGATGATGATGGATGGCTGCTTAACGTCCAGCGGCAAATTAATATGCATATTCAGGACAAGAACATGTTAATGTAATATAAATATTAACCCTGCTTTGTACTACATGAACCGCTGAGCCTGATTTTTACGTGCTAGTTCACAAGGTAACAGTCTGCAGGTAGACCTGTCACCTTACCTGGACACATTATTCTGACTCTGAGCCCACCAGTCCTAAATGCCAAATGTCTAGGGGAGAAGCAGCAAATACCAATTTTATACAAATGTTAAATTTCTTCATCTATCAGAATAATGAAATAGTGAAAATCATTTTATTACATGTACATGTATGATAAAAAAACGTTTTAATGCATTTTTTTATATTCATCTATTTATTTGAAATAAGTAATTAAACTATACTTTACAGGGAGAGAAAAAAAAAGCGACCTGAAGATAGTGTTTCCTTGTTTACATTGAAAATGACATCATATGTAAAATTCCTAACAATAGGACCAAAATCGGATATGTTTCTGTAATTCAGTTACTTTTTCACTAGAAATTATGCTGTGATTTTTTTTACAATAAATGTTTATATACATGTATATAAATCTACTGTTTCTAGGGTATGGTAAAGTATTCTAAAGGTTTGCCGGCTTCGCCCCTTTCACAGGTAACACCTGCCTCATATTATTGTGTAAAGATATATGGTACAATACTCCAAACATGCATTTATCAAACAAAAAATAATTTCTAACCGGAAAGCCTACATTGTATTTCACGAAAAAAATTACGTCTTCTGCAGTTCTGGAATAAATGTTGAATGAGCTATACCACATTATACGATACCACTATTTTTAAATATTAAGACTTCATATCACAGGCACTTGTTTCTATCCATGGGAAGATCCACTATCAACGTATATTAATTATTATACGTTGATAGTAGATCTTCCCATGGATAGAAACAAGTGTCTGTGCTTCATTTGATAAAATGGTGATGACGGTAGTTTTTAAAGACCTTGACTACCCATGAGGGTCTTACACGGTCGGTATGATAAAATGAAATATGGGAAATACCTTTATGTCATGCGTTTGCAGATTTCGCAACTAACAATTTCGCCGTGGAATAAATATATCAATGTGAATTTGTCCTTTAATCAATTAACCTAAAGCTCATAATGATAAACATTTATTAGACTTTACTTAAAGATATGTTCAGATATCGTTATCGGTGTAGAAGCGCAATGAAAATCCGGATTTATTCGTTAACTGAAAATCACAAAACACAGGATCACTTAAAGCCTTAAACAGACAAAGGTAGAAACAAATAAAAACCGAACCAAATCAAGAGCTTTAGTTACATACTTATTGGCTTTGAACTAGCTGTCAGTAACTGCTCTCGGATAATAATAATAATAATAATAATAATAATAACTTAATAATAATAATAATAATAATAATAATAATAATAATAATAATAATAATAATAACTTTATTTAAAGAGGGTGACTCAATATAGCATTCACTAATCTACCTTGAGGCCCTCACAAAAAAATACAGAACAAGTATTACAGATATTACAGTTTTTGAACATATAATACACCTAATCGCTATTTATTCCATTCCGGATAAGTTCTAAAATTACACAACTTTTTCATCCAGTTGACGCTATCTGGGACCCTGTTTAAACAATGGACCATGCATGATACTTTTTAATGAGACCTGTTTAAAACATCGTAAATACTTCAAACACAATATTTTTTTGACTTTAATTTGAGTTTGGAAAAAGTGGATCATAATCTATCAAAGTTTCCTATTGATCGCTTTCTAAATTTTTCCCTCCCTCAGCTCGTTACTGATGACCTTTGTTTGCGGCCTCTTGACCCAAACAGGAAGTTGTCTAAATGACTGTTTTTTCCGGATTGGACTAAATAGCGATAAGGTGTATTAAACTTTCACTCTAAATGGTTGCCTGTAGAACAAGGAAAAAAAATAATACGTTATACACAAACATTAAAAAGACATTATATAGTTAGAGAGTTGTTACATATCATTTATAGTTAAAAAATCTACACATTTTCTTTTAAAAGTACCAAGATTTTCACATAGTTTTATTTCATTTGGTAGTTTATTCCAAAGTATTGAGGAGCTCTATGTGAATGATTTTTTTCAGGGAAATTTGTATAGGCCTCACTACAGCTAGATTATTATTTGCAGAAGATCTTAAATTTCTGCTGGTTTATAATTGGACAAGATAGTTCTTTAAGGTAATTAGGTGCTTTATTATTGAGAATTTTATGAACAAGAATCAATTTATGATAAGAAATCCTAGATTTGAAATTTAGCCATTTTAGCTCATTAAATATATTTACAGTAGGTGTTAGTATTGGTGCATCCAGTATAATTCTGGCAGCTCTTTTCTGCATCTTAACAATTCTTTGAATTACATCTGCATTACAATTTCCCCATATTGAGCAACAAAAATCAAATATGGGCAGAATATAAGCATTATAAAATAATTTTCCTCTTCTAATATCTAAATATTTCTTAATTCTGGATAACAGGGAAATACGAGATCTTATGCCTTTACATACATGATCAATTTGAAATTTCCAGTCTAAATTTTTATCAATATATATACCTAGAAGCTTTTGTGTTTCAACAGATGTTATTGGGCTATCTTGTATTGATATATTTAGTTTATGACCTATTAAAGCTCGTTTTTGATTCGTTCCAACCAGCAAAGAAGTTGTTTTAAAAGGATTTATTACCATTTTCTTGTTTAAACACCATTTATTTATATAGTGTTGGCATCATGGTTTAGTGTTCTCTCTATCTCTTCCTTATTCATACCATGGGTATGAAGTGTTGTATCATCAGCATACATGTCAATGACAGAATTTGATGCCTCTAAAATCATATCATTTATAAATAAAACAAACAGTAGGGAACCTAAAATGGATCCTTGAGGAATCCCATATTTAATAAAACCAGAATCTGAAACTGTATTACATGAGCACACTTTATGTGGTCTATTAGAGAGGTAATAACCGTATGACTTGAACCATTTCATTGAATGATCTGATACTTTGTATAAATGTAATTTTTGGCAAAGAATGAGATGATCAACAAGATCAAATGCTTTTTTCAGATCCAGAAAGAATGTTCCTACAACATCGCCGTCATCAATATATTTAAACCAGTTATCTATCAATTTGGTAAGGGCTGTTTGGCATGAGTGCAGAGGCGGATTTAGAGGGTTTTCCACCCTATTTGAGGGAAAAATTTGGTTGATTATCAAGAAAATCACCGAAGCATGACTGGAGCGGGGCCCCCTCTTAGGCAGTCAGTGGGCCCCTCTTATGAAAATTTATGGATCCGCCACTGGAGTGGTTTGATCTAAATCCGGATTGTGCCTCGTGTAATAGTTTATATTTTGACAGATAAAGATAAAAATGTTTTGCAATATGTTTTCAAATACTTTCAATATACTTAGTCATGAAAGCGGGAAGTATTGATATGGGCCTGTAGTTTTCTGGATCTGTACTTTGTATCCTTTTTGTTGTTAGGGATGGGGGATGGATAAATACCCTGCCACGTCCGGTCAGTGTTTATGTTTGATGTTTTTCTGAATTGTATCAATCTGATGAGTTAATAAAATTGAGAAAGGAAATGGGGAATGTGTCAAAGAGACAGCAACCCGACCAAAGAGCAGAAAACAACCCAAGGCCACAAATGGGTCTTCAACACAGCGAGAAAATCCCGCACCCGGAGGCGGGCTTCAGATGGCCCCTAAACAAAAATGTGTACTAGTTCAGTGAAAATGAAACACTAAACTCCGAAACATATAAATGAACTAGAATTTATTACTACATATAAGGGGAGCGCTCACATACATTTTTAACCCCGCCACATTCTTTATGTGCCTGTCCAAAGTCAGGAGCCTGTAGTACAGTGGTTGTGGTTGGTTCATGTCTGTCATATTTGTTTTTCGTAAATTGTTTTGTTATAAATTAGGCCGTTAGTTTTCGCTACATATAAAACTAAAAGATTAAACAACACGAACCCCACCTAAAACTGGGGTGAACTTATGTGTCCCGGATGGGTAAGCAGTTGCATCATTTTATCACATATATATTATGTATGCATCATAGTAACTCGGCTAATGCATCAACACAATAATTTCTGCATTAAGCTAAACAGTATTAACTAATAGTTATGCAAAAGCTACAGCACTAGAATAATATACTGAAAAAGCACAGATAATTTGACAGTAGATAAAACAGTAAAATATTGATTTATACATCTAGACAACAGTTTTTAATAGCAAGCATTGCAGTGGCACTAGAACTGTTATACTAACGTCAATATATTATGTCCCAGAGTGGCACGAGTTGACACTTCGTGAGTTTATTAAATTTTGAACTGGCCGAATGATGTGTGGGATCAAAAGTGGTCTGGTACATTTGTAACTTGTTCCATAATTTAGCAGTAGCATATTGAATGTGATTCGTACTGATTGAATTTTTAAGGTAATGTTCTGGTACCGTAAACAATATTTTGTATCTTTGATTTTGATTATATTTATATCATGTATATAAGAGTGGTTTTCTTTATTCAAGATTTTATATGCCTCATTTGCCATTGTTCTCAGTCTTCTTACTTTTAAAGTGCAACGTATATGTCTTATTAAAAGCTCTCCGTATGTACTATTATGGTCACAATAGATAAACCGTAGGGCTCTTCCTTAGACCATCGCTATTTTATTTGTTGGCTTGGTTGCAACAATGCAATATGAGAGAGGACAGAAGATAAAATTTGATAATAAAAATGAGTGATATATATAGTTAATTTTAAAATTAATAGTAATACAATTTATTATATAGAGTGGGTGACGCATATTCGCCGCAAAATTCGTTCATTTCTACCTACATCCGACCTACATTCGAATATTTGAAACTTTTTATGTAGGTTTCAGAAAGTTTACTATATGAAAAAAATGTTTGATAAAGGAATTCTCTTCAAAACATTGTTTAAATGTTAAAAATGAAGGTAAACTCAAGAGGAAAATAAGTTGTTCTTGTACCATGGGGGACACATTTTCGCCGCAATGTATGATATGACCATCCTCATTATCCTTGTATATTATAAAAACAATTGTTTGCAATTACATGAATTAGCTTGAGAGATCATTCCTATACAATTTTTCTAACAAATATTTACTTTATGACTGCGCATGCGTGCCATAATAATCTTACATAATTGCCAAAATCGTTCAAAAACACCTGCGTATTTTTTTATATGTGCGAATAACATTGGAAATGGGGTAAAGAGGAATATCAACAGTTCGAACATTACAAACAGCATTTAGCATCTATATATAGGCAAGTATTGGGTAAAGGCACACGAAATTTACAGAAAAAATTGCAAAAACGGCGAATATGTGTCCACGGCGAATATGCGCCACCCACTCTACTTAGTAGTAAATAAAGATAAATTGTATGTGTAATATGCAAGTATGCTGTATCAGCCACCCGTGATGGTATCGATATCAGCACGGTTGCAAAGGTTTTATCACACCTTTAATCTGTATGACGTCACGTCATCGATTGCATGCAGTCACTTTTGCAACCCATAATCTGTATGACGTCATGTCAAACCTATAATCTGTATGACGTCATTTCAAACCTCCTTATCTGTATGACGCCATGTCACATAAAAAACATCTACGTGAGGTATATGTATATAATAAAGTGTATATGATATGGCTTTTTCAATATCACACGCCGTATCAACCCTCAACCAATATAATCCTTCGAGCAGAGCTCTCATGATTATATTGGTGTCTCGGGTTGATACAGGTGTGATATTGAAAAAGCCATATGATATGTATAGATTATTACATGGCATTTTTTATATCAGACCCTTTATCGGCCCTAGGTCATGATATCAGCCCAAGAGCCGCATGACCTAGGGCCGATAAAGGGTCTGATATGATAAATGACATGTAATTATCTTTTTATCATATACTTCAACAGAAGAAATACAGACAAGAACTATTAATTAAAATTTTGTCTTTCCATTAATTTTAAGATAATAATTTACAGACAACCAAATACAAATTTCTTAACTTTAATTGTTTTTATTAATATTACAAGCATTTTATTTATCTTGTCACAAC